ATTTACTAAATGAGTGTGTCTTGGCCTTCCATGCTAATTCAAGGGTTGCTATACTACAAGAAGTAGCTTTTCTGCAAGAGACTGCTGCTAGCATATAGTACTCTGTAAAGATGGTCAAAGATGTTTGATTTTAACAAAGAAGAACAAGTATTTTCAGCAGAAATAAAATATAATCACACTCACAATGGAGAAGAAGCCACTTAAGCCAGTGGTCCAGGGAGGGAGGAGGAGGGAGGACAGCGGGGCCAAGATCCGGCCTGCCAAGCATTGGATCCAGTCCAAGGATGGCCCAATTCAGCCCACAGACCTCCCCACCGGGACCCTTGGGCAAAAGAGCAGCCAGTCACTTAAAGTGGCATGGGGCTGCTCTGAAATGACTGGCTGCTCCCTATGGTCCTCTGCTGGGGTGGAGGGGGAGGGTTGTGAGTGTTACCCCCACATCCCAACAAAATCCAGCAACAGGGAGCAGCCAGCCATTTTGAGCAGTCTAGGGCTGTGGCAGCCAGAGAACCTGCCTTGGGGTCTTGCAGGGCTGCTGCCAGGGAGCCACCCAGGTAAGCACCTCCTTACTACAGCTAGCCTCTGGCACCCAAGTCCCTTCCTCACCCAACTCCCTGCCCCTGGTCACCATCCCTTGTTGCCCCAGCTCTTCATCCAAACCCTCTGCACATCCTCTTTCCCCCAGGTTATAGAATCATAGGGCTGAAGGAGACCTCAGGAGGTCATCAAGTCCAGCCCCCTGCCCAAGGCAGGACCAATCCCAACTAAATCAACCCAGCCAGGGCTTTGTCAAGCTGAGCCTTAAAATCCTCTAAGGATGGAGATTCTGCCACCTCCCTAGGTAACCCATCCCAGTACTTCACTAGCCTCCTAGGGAAATAGTTTTTCCTAATATCCAACTTAGACCTCCCCCCACTGTAACTTGAGACCATTGCTCCTTGTTCTGCATCTGTCACTACTGTGAACGGCCTCTCTCCATCCTCTTTGGAACCTCCCTTCACGAGGATGAAGGCTGCTATCAAATCCCCCCTCACTCTTCTCTTCTGCAGACTAAACAAACCCAAATCCCTCAGCCTCTCCATATAGGTCATGTGCTCCAGTCCCCTCATCATTTTGGTTGCCCTCCGCTGGATCCTCTCCAATGCATCCACATCCTTTCTATAGTGGGAGGGCCCAGAACTGGACACAATACTCCAGATGTGGCCTCACCAGAGCCGAATAAAGGGGAATAATCACTTATCTGGATCTGCTAGCAATGCTCCTCCTAATGCACCCCAATATGCCATTAGCCTTTTTGGCTACAAGGGCACACTGTTGATTCATATCCAGCTTCTCATTCACTGTAATCCCCAGGTCCTTTTTTGCACAACTGCTACTTAGCCAGTCAGTCAGTCCCCCAGCCTGTAACAATGCTTGGGATTCTTCCTATCCAAGTGCAGAACTCTACACTTGTCCTTGTTGAACCTCATCAGATTTCTTTTGGCCCAATCCTCTAATCTGCCTAGATCACTCTGGACCATATCCCTGCCCTCCAGTGTAACTACCCTCTAGCTTAGTGTAATCTGAAAACTTGCTGAGGGTACAATCCATCCCTTCATCCAGGTCATTAATAAAAATGTTGAACAAAACCAGCCCTAAAACCGATCCTTGGGGTACTCTGCTAGAAACCGACCGCTAATCTGACCTCAAGCCATTGATCACTACCCATTGGGCCTGACAGTCTAGCCAGCTTTCTATCCATCTCACAGTCCATTTATCCAATCCTTACTTCCTTAACTTGCTGGCAAGAATATTGTGGGAGCAAAAGCTTTGCAAAAGTCAAGGTATATCACATCCACTGACTTTCCTATATCTACAGAGCCAGTTACCTCATCATAGAAGCTAATCAGATTTGTCAGGCATGACTTGCCCTTTGTGAATCCGTGTTGACTATCCCTGATCACTTTCCCCTCTTCCAAGTACTTCAAAATGGATTCCTTGAGGATCCCCTCCATGATTTTTCCAGGGACTTAGGTAAGGCTGATTGGTCTGTAGTTCCCTGGATTGTCCTGCTTCCCAGACCCTGTACTCCCTTCTATACCCCTCCCCCAGACCAGAATCCTCTCCTGCACCCACACCCCCTTCCAGACCCTGCACCTCAAGCCCTTGCCCCAGATCACAACCCTGTTCGTCACTCAAACACTCTCTCAGACACCACACCCTCTCCTGCACCGCAGTCCCCTATCCCGAGCTACCTTCCACATCCAACCTCCATCCTGGACCTTGCAACCCCTCCTTGACCACTTACCAAAATCTTGGAGCAGCCTCCCCCCCCCACTTGTGTAATTTATTACCAATTTCCTTCCATTTCTAACATTTACTTAAATGATTGTGCTAAAGCCCTTTGAGGGCTTTTGACAGCAAACTGCCTGGGAAAGTGCGCACTGTGTGAAGAAACTGAAAAAAAAAGGCTGAATAAGGGGGGTGGGGTTGTCAGGAAAATTTTCTAAAGGGGAAAAATGTTGGCATTAGCTATGCTCTGCTGAGAAGAAGCCTGCAGGAGGTGTAATGTCTATTATTAGTATGTTTTCACATCAGCTCGTGGGGGTAATGAGCAAATTGAATATTTAAACACAAGGGCACAATCTCTGTTTGAAAGTTAGATGCTCAGCGTAACACCATCTGGAATTCTACTGCAACTTTCCATTTCTCAAGCAACGGCCTACACAAAGTCATTGTAACTTGGGCTAATTTTAGAACACCTCACACATTTTTATTAGATCTTGTTGAAAAATAAGACTTCAGGGTGGGGCAATTCAACGGAATTAGATTTATCTTTTCACAGGAGAGAGAGAGAGAGAGAGAGAAATGCAAGGAATCAGAACGGAAAAATGGAGAGAAAGAAGAGAACGAGGAAGCAGAAGTAGGATCCAGATTGATCACATGAGATCAAGTTGCTTCTAGGTCTTAATCTTTTTGTGTAATTAACCTAGTTCAAAGCATTGAACAAACTGTGGAAGGTGTATTGTGGCCCTGATTCTGCAAAGTACGTAAGCATATTATTAGCCAGTAGGCTACTCATGTGGTTGAAATTAGGCACTTCACGCCTGGGGGCAATTGTGTACTACTGTGCAATGCACAATTTGTGCAGAATTGTTATATGTAGAATTTTCACATTTCCCCTGCAGAACTAGGACTGCAGCCCACCAATAGGGGCTGCTATTCTCTGCAGAGCCTGACTCTTCAGCGCTCAGTGAGTAGAGCACCCAGCCTAGTGAGGATGGAGACTTTGCAAGCTGTGGCTATCTGGCTGATGGCACACAAGTCCCATGGGAGTAGGCACTTGCTTACTTACATTGCTAAATTACAGCCTATTTGCTTTCAACACATCACAAACTGTTCCTTACTGATCATCTTAATAATCACACTTAGCTATTACATAGATAAAACAATATGTACTACTGGCAGGCAATGGAGCTTGTTCTGATTTCCCTATTTATCACGTATGCTGTGCTATCGTAGTTTGACAGATCTGGAACAGCTTTGAGAGTGGGAGCTGGAAAGCAGGCCAAAGGTACAACTCAAACAATACCATCTTCATCAGGATGCGGTTTCTTAAATCTTTCTTGTCCTCAGGCTCATTTTTGTTATAAACCATGTTCGGTACATAACTGTTCCATGTAACAGTTCCCAATAAACAATATGAAAGGTTAATTAAAAACAAGAAAATACAAAGCAGGTGGAAGTCTGGGCTAGTTTGAGTAGCTGAACTGATGGCTGAGTATTTTTAGCTCCATTTGGAGCATAGACAGGATCAAATATTTATCTGCCACACAAATGAAGAGAGTAATTTTGCACACTGGTTACTTTCTGTCAAAACACAAGGATTTATTTCTTCTGAAATCTGGTAGAACCTCAGTGGGAAATACCACAGGAGTAAAGCCAACTTGGCATGAGTAGGCTTACACAGGCAGAACAGAACTGCTCAGTGTTTTGCCTGAGTATGGGAAGGAATATTGAATAGCCCTTTGAAAAACACAAGACTTACACTCTACAAATGAGCTCAGTAATCTTCAGGACAGATAATGCAGCAGATGAGTTCTTTCCATAGTCTGCAGAAAGTGTGTGCACTCCCACTGCATTTTGTATAAGCAGCACCTCCCTCCCCCAGCACCGGCTCCTGTTCCCCCCACCCTTGCTGCCTCTGTAGGCAGCAAGGTTGGGGGGAAAGCAAGTAGTCAATACTCCCAACTATCTGATAAGCTTATGCTTATTAGTCGACTACTTTCTAACATCCCTAATCAATAGAGCTCCACCATTTCCAAGACCTGGATTTCTTATGTGAAAAGCACAAGGATATTTTCAAATAAAATCTTTCAGGTCTTCTTCCTACTTTATTAAAAAAGGGGAGTGGGGTTTTTTCCACAAATACACTTTGTTTCTCCTAAATAATATGCTCTGGGCTATCAGAAACATTTTCTCCAAATCATAATGTTACCAAGAAGTGTAACTGATGTTTGGATCACAATTTTGCTTGTTCTCATCCCATTTCTAGTAGTGTTAAGTCTTGACACTTCAAATAAATGTGAAATTAAATACTTGCTCACTGTCACAAAACAGACAGGCAGCTCCTCCCTGAGGGGGTGGAAGAGTGTGAGGAAGTTTGCTGTGGGAAGATAAGGCATATCATTATTAAACAAGATTAGCAGAGAATTGAATACAGAAATACATAAGGCCCCCGTGGAAACAGAGTAAAATACAGAGTAGGCAAAAAATAAAGAATGGCAGACTCCATAAAAGAAACTGGCAGTTTTCTCCGGAATAAGTTTCCATTTTGCTTGAATCCTTTGTAGTTAGATTCAGAAAGTTATGGAAAATTAGTTTCGCTTACCATTTTACAGTCAAGATTATCAGCATCCTGAGGGTGAAATACAGTCATTAGAGCTTCTGTGCTAACGGCATTGCTGCTGCCTTTCTGATCTGCCATTGACCGTCCTTCATAATAATCCACTGGATTGTCAGAGTGGGAAGTAGTGGCGGCCTGTAAAAATGCATTAACAGCTGTCAGAGATGCTTAAAAGATCCTGTAAGAAACTGCACTGATAACAGTTGATGTTTCACCCCCAAGCATCACTTGTTATGGACCTTTCAAAATACAACAGTCTTCAGATGCATTGCAGTTGTTATTTAAATTTAAAACAACATTAAGAAATGTGCCTGAAGAGCGAAGAAGATAAGAAGCGGTACCTGATCTGTAGAGCTTCCTAGTCAAGCAGTAGCACTTGAGAAAGCCACATTTCCTTTTTGACACCGCAAAATATTTATTCATATATTAACATTAATAAGAATGAGAGCTGCACAAAGGAGGAAGGCCTGATCCAACTCCCCTGAAAAGACTCCACCTGCTTAAATGGTAACTGGATGAGGGCCCTGGACAGAAATGGTCACGTATTGTATTGGCAGTTAAATGCATGGTATGCTCTCCTACCTCAGGATACCTCTAGCAGGATTTCAGAAGCAAGGTTTAGAGCCTACTGGGAGAGACAAATTCTATTTCAAAAATCTATAAGTAAAATGCCAAAATGTACTGAGTTCAGAAGCTTTGCGGTTCGACATGTTCCCATCTGTTTGCCTAGAGAGCCAATTATCTTTGCACTTTAAGAGTGGAAATGAAGAAGGAAACAAAACAAACGGCTTATTAGCCAGGTAATATAGACAACAGCATGTAACGGGACATGTGTGCCCACTCCAAAAGCGAATGCTTTTGAGAAGGCAGAGCTCAGCACCCAAGTGTCACAGAACTGTGCTGCACTCCTACCTGGGGAGCATTTCTGGTCAAGTTAAGCCATTTTGTGGTCTTGTTGCTCAACCCAGGTTCTAACCCTCAATCCCTGAGGATGAGCCCTCCACGACTCACTGTTTTTCTGTGCTGAGATGACCACCTCGGCAAGAAGCGTAGAGCTTACTGCACTGGGGTGCCAGTATGGACACCATGGTGCAGTAATGCAGCATGACTGGCCTCTGACACCCTTCCCACAAGACCTATTCTTGCCTCTCTGGTCATGTTTGAATTCTACTGCCCTGCAGTCAGCTGCCCAACCCTCAGACCCGTCCTTTGCATTCCTTTTTTACATTTGAAAGTCCCCCTCCTGTTTGCTCAGCGATGGGTGGTGTATTCTCAGCACATCTTTCCAGCTGGCCATGCCTGCCCCATGCACCAGGAGATCCCCTGCTTAGCATCATGCCAAAGTACTAGGCCACAGCAGCATTTAGGGAGAAGAGTAAAGATGTCAATGTGTAGACATCAGGCTACACCTTCCCCCCCGGCCTGCCCAGGGCAAGTTTTTTCCTCCCCACCAGTCCCCAAACAATTCCCCCACTTGCCCGGGGCCAGTTCTTTCCTCCTCCTCACCTCCACCAGCTCTGCAGCCAAGGGCTGGGAGTAGGATTGCCAGATGGTTAACCCAAAAATACTGAACACCCTCCCCCCCCCAAAAAAAACACCAGGGAAAAAATTCTGTGGAGGGGGGGGGAAAAGGGGGAAAAAATTCTGTGGAGGGGGGGAAAGGGGGAAAAGGGGGAAAAGGGGAAAAAAAAAAGGAGTTAAAGCTGTTTTAATGCTGTTTTATTTTTTCTTAAGTGCCTGTAGAGTCAGCATAGAGATAGTAAGAGGGGAGAAGTTGAGCACTAAGAGCCAGGGAAGGCTTCAGTTCTTTAGGCTTTTTGCTGGCAGCCATTTTGTTTTCTTCATGGAGCCAGAACTCAGCTTCCCTGCAGAACCAGGTAAGCAGGGGTTCCGGGTGCAGGGTCCGGGGCGGGGGGGGCCACGCCGGCGGCTGGGCCTATTTGCCGAGTATGTCATAGGGTTGCCAGGTGTCCAGTATTTTTGCCTACTGGTTGGGGGGAGGAGGGGGTTGCCAGGTGTCCAGTATTTTTGCCTCCTGGCTGTGGGGTGGGGGGAAATCAGAAGATACCAGACATTTTAGGTGTCCGGTATTTTCTGAATTTTTTTTTAAAACCAGACAGGAGGCAAAAATACCAGACTGTCTGGATCAATACCGGACACCTGGAAACTCTAGATGGGAGGGCGAAAGGGCTTGAAATTGGGGGCTGCTTACTCATTTGTCTAAAGGCAAGATGGCAGAGCCCCAGCCCTACTGGCCACTCCCTGAGGGTACAGCTGCCCCTAGTGGACATTCTGCATATAACTCTCCCTTACGGGCTCACTGCCCCCAAATGGCCATTCTCTACCATGCCCCTCAGAACAGCAGTCTCTCCCCCCTTGCAGATTATGGAAAATAGTCCTTTTCTCAGGTCTTCCAGTTGTCTTGGCACAACCAAGCCCTGACCTTCCTTTAAGTTAGAACATAAGAACATAAGAACGGCCGTACTGGGTCAGACCAAAGGTTCTTCTAGCCCAGTATCCTGTCTGCCAACACTGGCCAGCACCAGATGCCCCAAAGACAATGATCAAGCGATTTGTCTCCTGCCATCCATCTCCAGCCTCTGAGAAACAGAGGCCAAGGACACCATTTTATCCCCTGGCTAATAGCCTTTTATGGACCTAACCTCCATGAAATTATCTAGCTTCTCTTTAAACTCTATTATAGTCCTAGCCTTCACAGCCTCCTCTGGCAAGGAGTTCCACAGGTTGACTACACGCTGTGTGAAGAAGAACTTTCTTTTATTCGTTTTAAACCTGCTACCCATTAATTTCATTTGGTGAAAGTTAGGAGAAGAGGAAGCAGCATACTAAATTTGATGACCCTAACTCTTATCGTTTAGGAGGAGTTCTTGAACAAAAACTCAGACTGACGCAGTCTAAAATACAGACAGCTCAACAATCTTAATAAGCCTGATCTAAAACCAGAAAACATGCCCAGGAAAAAAATGCTCTCTTTTCTCCTCTCCTTCCCCCATGAATGCAAAGTCACCATAGAAAGCACGTTTATCAATGTGTCTGAATGGCATGTGCGCCCAGAGAAACATTCAGCTGACATTTCTGTTCAGTCCTGACATGTGCCAAGCGTTTCGTCTTTTCCCTTCTCCTTCCCCCAGGAATGCAAAGTCACCATAGAAAGCACATTTATCAGTGTGTCTGAATGGCATGTGCGCTCAGAGAAACATTCAGCTGACACTTCTTTCAGTCCTGACATGTGCCAAGCGTTTCTTCCTTGAAGCACTACACCACTGTGAATGATAGGGTTTTCAGTCACTCTTTCACTTTGGGATAAGTTATGACGCATTGTTATACCTCCCCCTTCATTATGCACAAACCCTCTACAGCATATGCGACATGGACTGAAGTCTTGTTCAACATCAGACTGTCCCATTGCTATGCAGTGTTCTCTCTCAGAGCCTCTCATAATTCCTGCCAGATGACAGTCAGGGCCCCAAAGAAACACTTCAACTGGAATTGGTCCCAATTTACACAACTGATAGACACTTTCCAAATTTCAGTATGTGAATTGTTGGCCACAGTTAGAGTTCGAAACCTCTGAAGTTTGGAAATAATCCAATCTGGGATTTCGATTCAGCTCCACCTCTTATTTAAATTCACATTTTTGAAGTGTTGACATACAGTACTACTTTAAATGATGGGATACAACTAATGACTATACTTAGCCTTCTAGCAAGATCGAACAAAGTGCTCTCTGCAGCTCCATAAACAGTTAATAAAGAATTAGCATTAGCTGGGCTTTTACCTCCGTACTTGCAGTATGTTGCGGACTTGAAGTTGCTCCACTTCTGATCTTGAGCTTTGCTACCAGGTGTTCAAAATCCCTAAGCTCAGTGAAACGAAAAGCTCTTTTTCCTTTAGTACTAATGCTGACTCCTTTGTTGGCTGGATCAGAAATTTCCACTGCTATGACCTGAAGAAGCAAGGACACACCAATTAGTAATTTCATCTGTTGGCATGATCTGCAAAAACAAAATTCTATTGAGTGTGGGTGCGTGACATACAGGAAGCTTTCTGCATTACCCTTATGAATAGTGTGACATGGCTTCACTACTCAATGTTGTGTAGTTGCCTGCCTGAGTGCACAGAGCTGAACCGAAGCAGTCTGTCAAGAAGTTGTTAAAGACAACGCAGGAAAAATAAAACAAGGACTTAGATGAGAAAGTTTTGCAATTCAACTTCAAAGGAGTTAAGATAACAATGGCTAGGATATCGGTTGGAGAAAACCAACTACCTAGCTAGCGGAGACTAAGATCGTCAGGGTCCCTATGGAAGAGACTAGACTGCAGAAAAGAGAAGGCTGCCCAGGATACATCAGCAAAAAAGCTAACAGGCTGGGAAGACTCACTCGGAGACAGAGGGAGCCCTATGCAAAACACCCCAGGATACATCAGCGAAAAAGCTGACAGGCTGGGAAGACTGACTCGGAGACAGAGGGAGCCCTATGCAAAACAAGCAGGCTGTTTCTCTTGACAATCTCAGAGGGGTAGTTGTATTAGTCTGTAACTTAAAAAAAATTAAACGAGTGATCCTGTAGCACCTTAGAGATTGTGTGTGTGAGAGAGAGAGAAAAATCCGGGCTCGTCGAACTGCGGCGAGCCCCACTCACCAGCCACACTGTCTGGCGATGTTCTTCCGGGTTGCAATCTACTCACCACAGGTGAGTAGACTGCATTATTTGTCAAGCCCTGTATATAATCATGAGCTTTTGTGGGCACAACGCACTTCCTCAGACGGGTGGAGCAAGAGGCACAGAGGGGCAGAGAAACCTCACACATTTAAGGCAGAAAAAGGGGAGACACACAGAGGAGAAAAGAATCCTTTCAGTTACGGTGTCCATGCTAAATGAGCACTGAATGGTGAGAGCATATTATCATGCAGGCGTGGGATGAAGACCAAGGGCCACAGAACTTTCCGACATGTAAAGCAGCCTTCCTAGAGGGGTGTGCTGAGCTGGCTCCGAACTGCAGCGCAAGCATACCCGAATGACAGCTGCTCTCTCAGTAGAGAAGCGTGTTGCAATGGCTGTGTGGAAGCTGTCGACTCACGATTGCTACCATATAGTTGCAAATCAGTTTGGAGTGGGGAAGTCTACTATCAGGGCAGCACTTATGCAAGTATGCAGGGCAACAAACCACATTTTGCTGCGTAGGACTGACTGAGAAATGTGGAAGACATAAGCGGCTGGCTTTGCTGAAATGGGCTTTCCAAGCCGTGGTGAAGCAATCAACGGCACATACTCCCACACAGTGCCATTCCATCTTGCCTTAGAGTACATCAATCGCAAGCAGTACTTCTCCATGGTGCTTCAGGTGCCTGTGGATCACCGTGGGCATTTCACAGACATACATGTGAGGTGGTCTGGAAAGGTGCATGATGCATTATCTTCAGGAACTGTGGTCTGTGGACCCTAAGCTGCAGGCAACGACTTACCCCTTTACAGCCCTGGCTCATGAAGCCTTACTGCTGTCCAGGTGCCCAGTGTAAGTCTACTATAAGGAGCAGTTCAACAACATGCTAAGTTGATGCTGCACGGTTGTTGAATATGCCTTTGGCAGACTGAAAGGGAAAGGGAGGTGCCTGTATGTTAGGCTGGACCTTTTGGAGGATCATATCCCAAGGCGCTGGCTGCACGCCGCTGCTTACGTAACTTGTGTGAGAGGAAGGGCGGCTCTGAGGAACCAAGAGGCACTGACATTTCTGTGTTGGAGTTGCTTTCCTGCCTCATCCCACTACTCATCCTGAGCAAGGTATTCCCATGAAACCAAGGGATATTACAGGGACCAGAGTGCTTGGCGGGGCTTGTGCCACACAAAATAAACTCATGGAAACCTGCATCACATTTGTCTTTATTGATGGCTTTCAATCACGATGCTCAGTGGTAAGGGTTATTGGAAAACCTCATAATGATGTTCGATGCTCAGTGGTGAGGGTTATTGGAAAACCTCATAATGATGTTAATGTCCAGCTGTCAAAGTGACAGCTGTTTTGATGGGGAGTGGAGTGTGCTGGGAAAAAAGTGTTACCTGACTATGAAAATGAGTGTGTGGGCGTAGAGGGAAGGCTGCTGTGAAAAGAGTTCTGCATGTGTTGACAGGGAGGCTTTTGGTTCTGTTCACTCTGCATCTTGATAAAGACACTTGAGCATCTCATTTTGGCCTTCCGTGAGCTTTAGCATGTGCTCAGTGGCTTCTGTTCTGACTTGCATCTCCCTAGCTCTTCTTTGCTTCTTTTCCTCTGAAGTGTTGAATGCTGCAACACATCCTTGACCAGATCCTCCTTTGTCCTCAGTTGAGAAAGTCGGTCTGCTGGGGAACAAGCCTGACTTCTCAATGTCTGGTCTGGAAAAGTAACCATTAACAATAAGAGCGACTGTATTTCTCCTGATAAAGATTGTAACATTTCACTAACATGCACATCTCTGAACAGAACCCTCTCTCCTTGGGTGTGGATGTGGGATCCCCACCCAGGATTGCATCCAGTTCTTTGTAAAAACAGCATGTTCTAGGTGCAGGATCAGACTGGCTGGCTGCCTCCTTCGCCTTCTGGTATGCCTGCTAGAGTTCCTTTATTATGGCTTTGCAGTGTAGAGTGTCTCAATTGTACCCCTTTGTACAAAGCGCTCTAGAAATGTGACCATAAGTGTCCCAGTTCCTACGGGTCATTCACAGCTGTGATTGCGCCATTTCTTCACCCCACACATTGATAAGATGCAAAAGCTCTGGCGTGCTCCAAGCAGGAGAGTGACAGCCACTGTTTCCCTAAGAGAACATCATGAGGGCCGCTACACAGTGAGCCAGGAGCACCACTACCAGGGGTTTGCAGGTGGGAGGGGCACATCTGTTTACATGTCCACAGATCAGCAGAGTTCAAAGCGCAGGCCAGGATGGCTAATTAGGCATTGTTAGAAACAAGCTGAAGTTCAATAAACTCGACAAAAAACCTACTGTAGTACACGCTGCAGGACTGTTGACAGAAAAGCAAGTGGGAGAGACAAAAGGTCCTTGCAGAGCTGGATATTGTGTGTCACCAAAACTGATAAAACTTGTTGCGACTTTGATTGCCTTACAGTGTAAATGGTCCCTAGGTTTTATACCAAAAAGGGTTTTTTGGCAACAAAACTTGTCAGTACAGACAAGTCCTTAAAGATGGGGAATAAGCTGGAATAAGTCCTTAAAGATGGGGACTAAGCATGGATAGAGAGGTTAGACTTCGATTTTTTTAAAATATGCATGTTGGACTCTGTTTTAAACCTTGGCTCTACGGGCTTTTTATCTTTTGGGTGACAGAAATAATGCATTGTTTTGGTGAAACTGTTTCTAGGTCATTTTGATCAGCTGCTGTCACAGGTGCCCAAAGGGAAGAGTTTCATTTGGTACCCAGGGAATTGTAACCCAGTTCCTGGTTCAAGAATTGGCAAATTGCAGAATTCCAGCCTGTGGGGGTGCACTCAGTGAGACCCCAAGAAGGGACAATAGTGCAATTATCCTGGTAACCATGACAGCATGCATAACCAAGAGCGTATTGGACCATTCTATAAGCAGAATTAATACTCTCTATGATTACACAAAATAGTTAGTTGCTATTCTGTCACAAGATAATGAACTGACATGTTATCCTCATAAAACCCAAACTTCATTATGGGACAGATTTTTTAGAAAAAAAAATCAACATATTGATACAAAGCTCTTTTCAAAATCTGGCTTCAAGTGCCTTCTGAAACTGGTGCATCTTACATAGTTTTCTGAAAGAAACCAGACTCTGGCTCTTGCAAATAATCAACTGAAGCAGATTCACGGGAAGGATCCTCCACTGAATACCTTACAAAACACATCTGCACAAGAAAGGACCGCTAGAGCTGATCTTAATTACAATGATGGGATAGTTATGATTTAAAGTGGCCAACACACCTTAATAATGTAGTAAGAAATTAGTAACACGGCAGTGAACTGCTAGACTGACTTCCACGGACGCTGCTTTTTTACCACAATGGGTGAATAATGAAAACCAACTGATATGAAACAACTCTACAATATTGTGAAATAGTATTAGAGGTCTAACAACTCCTAAACGAGAATTTGGAATTAAGAAGTCAGCTCCTTTTACTCAAACTGTTATGCTTTGTTATTACACTTTGCACGAGTTCCTATTGTTTGCAAGACTGCCAATAGAAAAATCACATGCACTGCAACAGCTAAGCAGTGTGTGCCTGTAATATCGGCGAGGAGTCCTGTGGCACCTTATAGACTAACTGAAGTGTTGGAGCATGCTCCAGCACTTCAGTTAGTCTATAAGGTGCCACCGGACTCCTCGCCGCTTTTGCAGATTCAGACTAACACGGCTACCCCTCTGATACTTGCCTGTAATATGCCCACTGAAGTTAATGGTGTTACACAAGAAATTAATTCAGACCTCTGTATATTACAGCTTTTAATAGTTTCAAACACTGAGGTCAACTGAAAGAAGAAATTCGCCTAGCAGAGTGTAATAATGTGTGCTCCAATAGCACATAGTGGGGCAGATTTTCAGCTGGTGTGAAATGACATAGCTCCATTGACTTCAGTGTATCTCTGACAATTTGCACATGAATGTAGCACACAGCATGTATGAAGAGTATTAAAAGTATTAATCAACGTCTTGGTAATTATCTATTTCAAGAACATGTTTGGGGCTAGCCACAGGACGACTAAGCCTTAAAGCGACTGATAGGAGCTCAGTCCACAAAACACATACAGCAGGGCTACTCAACCTGCAGCCCGCGGGCCACATGTGGCCCGTGACCTTTTTGTTTGCAGCCCGCGGGTATGAGACTTGTGCAAGATGAGACAATAAAAGATCCTCAGCTCATCTAGAAAGGACAGAGGATAAAAAGAGAGAGACGTGAAGGTTGTCTTTGAGGTGAAAGGAGTTCTGCATGCAGTAGGATTTAGCTTAATACTGCTGTCACCAAGAAAAATGACAACATATAAATCGAATAAAAAGAGATTCAATTTTGTAATGAGAAACCAGAGTAAGAGAAAAGTAAATTAAGTACTTAATCTATCCAAATTATAAAACTTTCAGTGTAACTGGCTCTCACAGCAATACCTCTCTTAGGGGAATGATTATGCTGCATAGGTTGCCATCCTGGCTAGCAAAACAGATGTAGTTCTCTGAAATGCACATTTTTCCCAATGTGTTGTAGTGGCAGAAAGGTACCCATAAGAAACATTCATGCACTTCCTTCAGGGTCTCTTCCTTGGGTAGCCTGAAGAATGCACTGAACTGCTCACTGTGGGCTCGGTTCTCCAGGCCTCTAATGGATAGAGAAGGAGAAGGAAAAATAATCAAAAAGTTATTTTAGTATAACTTTATATTTCTTAAAACTGAATTGTGTTGGGAGGGAACTATATTAAACCTTTATATGCCGTGTTCTCAAATACATTGTGGGCTCAATCCTGGAAGGCACAAAGCGAGGTTCCGAACTCAAATCAATTCCCAAGGGAGCTAACAGCACTTAGCACATTGCAAAATCAGAGCATTACACCCCAGTTTAGCAAAGTGCTTAAGAATTTCTCAAAGTTGAGCACATGATTAAGCACCTTGCTGAACAAGGATGGACTGCTGTGGACAAGGATGGAGGCCTACACTGGATGAAAAGTTATCACTTTTTAATAGCCCAACTGGCTCTGCTTTTCAACACATTAAAATAAACCAAAAGCTTCAGAGGGGTGGCCGAGTTAGTCTGCAACTAGAAAAACTTAAACAACAAATAGTCTAGTAGCACCTTAAAGACTAACAAAACATGTAGATAGTATCATGAGCTTTCCTGGGCAAAACACATTTCTTCAGATTGGAGTATTATAAGTCCAGATCCAAGAATAAGGGAAGGGAGGGAGGAGGGGGAAAAAAGGAGAAAAAAAAAAAAGACAGTGAATAGATTGTTCAAGCAATTACAAGAGGCTGATAAGAACAATTAGCACCTCCATTGGTTGGCTGGTTAAGTCATTAAGATGTGGAAGGTAGCTGTGAGCCAGCCGATATCCCTGTTCATTCCATTCGGATAAGAATAAAACTTGTAAATGAAATTAAGTTACAACCCTTCCCAGTGTATTTGGCTTGTGGAATTGGCCTGAAACAATACAGTGACTTGGAGCTCCATTAAATAAACCAATTAAGCCTAAACCAGTTTTGGCTCAATGGACAACTGATTGGCCAGAACATAGCCTCCGTGAGTGTGCTTATAAGAAACATGCTTGAGAAAGAGTGCAGCAGCAGTCAAAAAAAGCAAACACTAAGAAAGGGATAGAGATAAGACAGAGAATATCTTATTGACTCTATATAAATCCATGGTTTGCCCACATCTTGGAAACTACATGCAGATGTGGTCGCCTCATCTCAAAAGAGATAATTTGGCAATAAAAAAGTTCAGTAATCACAAAAATGACTAGGGGTATGGAACGGATGTCATATGAGCAGAGATTAATAAGACTAGGACTTTTCAGCTTGGAAAAGAGATGACTATGGGGAGATATGATAGAAGTGTGGAGAAAGCTAATAAAGAAGAGTCATTTACACCTTCCCATAACACAAGAACTAGGGATCACCAAATGAAATTAACAGGTAGCAGATTTAATGCAAACAAAAGAAGTACTTCTTTACACAACGCACAACCAACCTGTGGAACTCCTTATCAAAGGATGTTAATGAAGTCAAAACAAAAACATATCAGGGTTCAAAAAAGAGCTAGATAAGATATTAATGAAGTCAAAACAAAAACATACCAGGGTTCAAAAAAGAGCTAGATAAATTCATAGAGGTTAGGTCCATCAATAGCTATTAGCTAGGAGGGGCAGGAATGGTGTCTCTAGCCTCCGTTTGTCAGAAGCTGGGAATGGACGCCAGGAGTTGGATCACTTGATTCCCTGTTCTGATCATTCTCTCTGAGGCACCTGGTATTGGCCACTGTTGGAAGACAGAATACTGGGCTAGATGAACCTTTGGCCTGACCTAGTATGGCCCTTCTAATGTTGTTATTATATTCATGTATAAAGGCAGTGACAAAATTAAGTTTTGGCAAAAGACCAATATCCACCTCTAGCACTATCAAACCGAAATGGATATTCTGGACCTGCATCTTTCAATTCAATAGTAAGGAAAACCAGCCACCAGTCCTCAACACATGGTTGCTTATATCACCCATTGCCCATATATTTGCTCCCCAATGAACATATGCTGAAAAAGGTGTTGTTCTTCCCCCTTCTTCATTAGCAAGTTACTCTTCAGTGACACCACCTCACCTTTACTTTTTATTCTCACTTGCTGCTAGGATATTACATTTTTAAACAATTTTGCTGTAATATTTTTTCACAAGATATTTAGAACCTTAAATACAATTATTAACTGGAGAATGTAAACTCTCCAGAGAGTTTATTTATATAGGATGTAAGCAAATGTAAATCTGGGGCTGTAAACCCACAGGAAAATCCCTTTAAAGCAGCGAATAAAGCAATAACATTTTCCTCTTTTCCTATGTGAATGTATTAAATGGTTTTCTCTTAAAGAACAAATCAATTTCCTCTCTTTTCCTATATGAATGTATTAAATGGTTTTCTCTTAAAGAACAAATCAAGAAATATTATTAATTATTATTATTATTATTAATAATAATAATAAAAACAGTTTTGGTTAAATGACACTACTGAAAAATGCTTTCTGCATTTTCCTGTTCTAAAGAGGTTCTCTGTTTTCTGTGTAAAAATAATAAAAGATACAGATTTAAAGTCTTGAATTATAATTAATTCTGGCCTATCAAATGAGAAAGGATTTTAGAAACCTGGGCCAAGAAAACTAACTTTGGTAAGTTTAATGAGTCATAGGATATTCATTAAAACACACAGAGAAACTAAGCTTTACCACAGAACAGTCTCTGAAAATGAAAAACATGCAAATAGGCATTTATAATACTGCACACTTGGGACTGGATTATTATTACAATTACAGCTATACAAATCCACAGCAATGCCAGCAACTTTCCTGTGGATACTCCAGATTTACACTTGTACATCTCAGATCAAAATCTGACTCTCTAGACTTAAGCCTGCACTGCATGAGACAGAAGCGAATGAAAAGAACAGGATAAGAAAACTTTACTACAGAATGTACAATGAAGGCAACGAGCTCCCACGTCTAATGGATGTTTCTGGTTTGAGTAAATACCATGTGTTGTTTCGTTTTCATAAAACTTACAGGACACTAGAACTGGAAGGGACGACGAGAGATCATCAAGTCCAGTCCCCTGCCCTCATGGCAGAACCAAGCATCATCTAGATCAGGGGTGGGTAATAATTTAGACAGGGGACCACTTCACTAATTTTTGAAGTGGTCCCGGGTCTCCAGCGGAAGGGGCAGGACCAGGACCCTGATTTGCTTGGGAGTGGGGGAGCACGTGAAGTCTATGTCCCACTCCCCCACCTAGAGAGAAATGTCAGCTGTTCTGAACAGCTGGTGATTCCTTCTAGGAACCCGCCCTCTTGCAGGGCAGGAGGAGACTTCCCAAGCTTCCCTCAGCCCCAGGCCAATCAGGGGCCCGAGGAGCGTGCAAAGTCTCTCGCTCCCTGCCCCCACCCTGCAAGGGGCGTGTGCCTGGGGGCAGGGGAGTGGCAGGGCATCCGCAGGCCGGATCTGGCCCACAGTGGCTCCTTTGCCCACCCCTGGTCCAGATCATCTCTGTTAGATATCTGTCTAACCTGCTCTTAAATATCTCCAGTGATGGAGATTCCACAATCTCCCTAGGCAATTTATTCCAGTGTTTAACCACCCTGACAGTTGGGAAGTTTTTCCTAATGTCCAACCTAAACCTCCCTTGCTGTAGTTTAAGCCCATTGCTTTTTGTCCTATCATCAGAGGGGCCAAGGAGAACAATCCCCTCCTCCCTCATGACAACAGTTTTCAGGTATCTAAAAGGGTATGTCCCCCCTCAGTCTTCTCTTTTCCAAACTAAACAAGCCCAATTCCTTCAGCCTTCCCTCATAGCTCATGTTCTCTAGACCTTTCATCATTTTTGCTGCTCCTCTCTGGACCTTCTCCCATTTCTCCACTTCTTTCTTGAAATGTGGTGCTCAGAACTGGACACAATACTCCAACTGAGGCCTAATCAGCGTAGAGTAGAGCAGAAAAATGACTTCTCATGTGTTGCTCGCAACATTCCTGTTAATGCATCCCAGAATCATGTTTGCTTTTTTTTTGCAACTGTCACACTGTTGACTCAGATTTAGCTTGTGGTACACTATGACCTCTAGATCCCTTTCTGCAGTACTCCTTCCCAGACAGTCACTTCCCATTCTCTATGTGTGAAAGTGATTGTTCCTTCCTATGTGGAATACTTTGCATTTGTCCTTATTAAACTTCATCCTATTTCCTCAGACCATTTTTCCAGTTTGTCCAGATCATTTTGAATGATGACTCTATCCTCCAAAGCAGTTGCAACCCGTCCCTGGTTGGTATCATCTGCAAACTTAATAGGTGTACTCCCTACGCCATCATCTAAATCGTTGATAATTGTGTTAAAGAAGGAGAACCCTGTGCACTTAGCACGTTTGGTCAAGTTATGCTTTTGTGCTTATTCTGAACAGCATTTTTGTTAATCTGATTAGCCATGAAGAATTTGTGGTCATGAGACACCCACACAATTATTTTGATTAAAATTGACATGATTTCTTACACATCATATTCATGTGATTTCTTCTGACAACTAACAGTTAATTAAAACACCCTGTATTACTTCATTCCCAGCATCCAGCAAGACACTTGGGTAAAAGACACAGATGTTAGCAAAGCCGTTATTGTAAGCTCCTTCAGTCAAGGACTGTGTCTTCCTGTGCCTGGAACTCTATTAAGCACACAGCTGACACGCTACAAATAATAAATTACCTCTTGGTGATTTGCAGGGGATCATGGAGGACTAGGTCACTTTCAAATGTCTCCTTGTCAAAAAGTCTCCTTACAGCATAGTTTGCCAGCTGCTCCATAAGAAGGAACGTTTCATTAATGTGCATAAACATGGAAAAGTAGTGATCCTCCCCACGGGAGCACACATGAATACTCTCGGTCAGGATCACATTGGAGGTCTTTTCAAGCTTTGAGATTTCATCCCAGGAGATAACGAGTTTTACTGAAAATATGAGTATAAGCAGGTGTGAGTAACTTCTCACTGCTCTAGCCGCCTATACTTTTTTCTTAACGCTAAGGGAACAAGCAGTCAACAGTTCTATTAACGTAATTAAACATCAGAGTTAAATCGCTAGCACGTAGGAAGGTCTAACATGGCTGGAAGCATTATATTAAGCCAATGAACAGCCTTTATCTTATTTCATATTTCTGAGAAAGACAAGCCTTTGTGTTTTTCAATAAGATCCAATATGTAATAGTCCTCTCATATAGAGTCATACCATCTTCCACACCTACTCCATTAGCTTCTGTGGAACCGTTTGAGAGACAAGGTACTATTTAACATAGGTGCCATAATCTTACCCTACACATAATCGCTTTCCTTGTTTTACAGCCCAATCCTGAAAGGTAGTGACCACTTTCTTCCACATGCCCAGTGCTCTCGCGATGGGAGAGGAGAGGACTCAGCTCCTTGTAACTGCCACTGATCGCAATGGGAGAGGAGAGGACTCAGCTCCTTGTAAGATTGGGCCCTCAGTCATTTGTGATCTTGCAGAGTAAGTGTAAAGAAGTACTGAAACGACTGCTATTTTACAAGTGCAAGAATATCACAGGCTATCTTCCGAATTACTCTACAGGAAGCTTGCCAGCTAGAATTTCTTGGCTAGAAATACATCAAAAAGTGCCCTATATGTTAGCACTAGATTATACTTTCTGATCTTTGCTCCAGTGTAAAACTGCAAATAGCTAAATGAACTACAGTACTATGCAGGCTCCTCTGCTTTAATGGTACATTTAAAATAAAGTTTCTTAGATAAAATGGTCTGTTTGCTTTAAGGGGCCAGTATCTTTCTGAAACACTGTTGTGCCTCCTGTTAGCAAGGATGAGTGCTACATCTCTGTACTGGCTGCAAGACTTACAAATGCTTGTAAGTCTATGCAACTTTCTTCATCTTTTCTAGTTTCCATTCACACAAAGTTATTACTCTCACAAATGCAAATAGACAAAATTATGCACATGGAAACTGTGTGTAAATATCAGCAATGTATAAATGCCTCTATTTGGGAAGATTATTTTTGTTTTAAATTTGTACATGTCATATGAACTGAATTAAGAGCCTCCAGAGCTGAAAGCATGAATATCCACTGCTTAAGTTAAAGACCCAGGCTCTGCAGCACAGAGGTGTACCAAACCCATATTCTGTTGCAAAATAACTAAATTTCAATCTCAAAGGATTAAGGGTGTGATGTGTTACTTCAAATTTGAAAACTACAAAATAAAATGGTGATCAGTGACTGAGCCAACTTACTTTCTGCTCCCAACAAAAAAGAGTAAAAGCTAAGAAAGTTGGTACTAAGATAAAGCCATCCCTGACAGGGCATTCGCCCTCTCCAGTAACTGCAGGAGTAATAGGTCACCAACTTCTCCTGCTCTGCTAATCCAAAACACTTTTCAAACTTCATAATAGCTTCTCGAAACTTCTCAGGGTCATCTTCTTTTATGAAAGAACCTTTCCCTTCTTCAGCAATCAATCCCTAGAAGCAAATCAAACAAAAATGATTAAATTAAGTATATGTGAACAAGCCATGCAACATATTTTGTGCTGGAAAGATATTTCAGAAGGGGAAGAATGGTCCTGTGGCCAAAATACAGGATTAGGAGTCAGGAGGCCTAAGTCTATTTCAGATCCTTCCATACACTTCCTGTATGACCATCGAGAAGACACCTGCCCTCAAGTTTCCCTCTCTATTACAGGGGAATAGTGAGGCCTCCTTACTCCATTAGAGGTATTATGGAACTACATTCATGTGCTTGGTCATCCTTCAATGGAAAGTGCTTTAAAAAGCTAAGTATTATTATTAGATGGTCTCACACTCCATTGCTTCCAAAGGCCAAACTCATTGCAAAAACCAAGGGCTCTCTCCATTCTTCCATTACCCATCTCTCCCTCCAGCTCCCTACAAGCCTCCCTTCAAGCCCAACCCCTATCTCCACTTACCCCATCACACCAAAGGCTCTGTGTGACAGCACATTTCCTCTTCATACCATTGTCCCAATTTCTCCTCTAGTACCAGGCACTCTGTGCCCCAGGCCTCCATGCCCGCCATCCACCTGCACCCTTTGTAACAGAGTTCCTCAATCATAGGCATGCCTCAGTCTCTCTCTATGCACACTGGATGTAAAAGAGTTAACACTGCACCTGGAATGCACTGGGGGGGGTAGTGAATGAGTATGGGCTATCTAGATGTCTGGGTGGAATGACTAGGTCCTTAAGGAACTGGCTGAAACCAACCCACGGCAATGCAGGACACAGCAAGATAAAGAGCCCCCCACCGCTGCACCTAGGCACTGATCAATCAACCCCTAACAGCTAGAAACCCCAGCCGGCAAGCGGGATGTGTGAACTGAACTACAATAACGCCTGCACTTTTGGAGGGGCTCCATACTTCTGACCAAAGGGAAGAGTAAACCAAAAATCACCACAGGGCGTTCGCACACATCACGTCCACATTGGAGGCACCTTTACTGACAGTGGGAACAATGCACTGTGGGTGTGTATCCCACAGTGGGCATTGTGGGAAGACAGAGCTGATTGCTGCGCAGCTTGGGATTTCCCCTCCTCCTCCCTGAAGTTCTCTCTCAGCCTCCTCAGCTGCAGGGAGTGGGGCATCATGAGTAGCTGCCTATTCCCCTCCCCTACACTGTGTTCCTAGTGCAGGGCAGAACAGGAGCAGTCAATGATTTGTTTGGTTGTTCCCCCAACAGAGCAGCACACTCAGCTGTCAGATACTTCCGGGATTTGAAAAGGGAGGGCCACGTGCCTGCAGGGCAGCAGAGATTAAAACACTGAGCAGATCAATCAGGGCAGATATTGTGGGATACTGGCAGAAGACAGTTCTGGTCACAAAACAAACAGCAAAATCTACACTGACTCTTTTGTCGACAATAAAGGGAGAGGAAAAGAAACAAGTCTGTCTCAGGGTGGAAAAGTGGGCACTTTTCCTGACAAAAGTTGCATTGCCATGTGCATGCTATCACTGTCTTGCTGCCAAAAGGCAGTTTTTGGAGACAAAACTTGGCAGTGCTGTCTTGCTGTCAAAAGGCAGTTTTTGGAGACAAAACTTGGCAGTGTAGAGACAGCCTCGGATGGAGTCCATTCCTGACACTATCACAACCTGGCTGATGGCACTGGCTTTGGTGGAATATCTGCTTCTCTGTGCTAACCTAAGGACTTCCAGCTTAGGTGACTAATAAAGTGCCACCCTGTAGTGGAGAGGCCACCTGTGTTCTGAGAGCGCCTCCCACAAGAGTCTGGCTACGGTGGATTAGCTGCTAGGAGACAGGGAGAGAGACAGAGAGCCCCAGTGCCAAAGACCCAGCCTCCGAGTCTTGGAAGGTAAAGGCCTGCCTATGTGCAACTGTGTTAAGCTTTGGTGCCTGGTATACCAAAGGGGGCCCTGGTTACAGCTAGAATCCAGGCCCTGGGCATCTGTGACAATATTGCACATACACAGGGAAATGCCCTTGAGTTTAGTGTACTGTCTCATTTTTGCTCTATCAATTATTATTATTATTATTATTGAAGACTGTTTTTTCCACAAGGTTTAAACATTTATTTAAAGGCAACAGACATGTTATCCAGCAAGAATAGAATTGGTCTCTATCAATTTTACTTTAGAAGACTGTTCTTTTTCCACAAGGTTTAAACAGTTATTTAAAGGCAACAGACACATTTGATATCCAGCAAGAACAGAATTGGTCTCTATCAATTTTACTTTACTGTGAAGTGAAATAGCTTCAATCCATTCTTCTGCTCTTATCCGACTGCAATATAGTACTGCACCACAACGCTGTCCTCTACTGTCTGAAAAAAGGGAATGTTATAAACTTATTTCCAAAGCATGGAAAGTCAAAACCCTCTGTTATATCACCTCCATGCTACTTACTCTTATCTTTCCCTGTACAAAGCTAGTCACATCTTCGTTTGAATCAAATACACATAAGGTCTTCATAACATTGTGTTCCAACCAGTCCCAGTGTTCTGTAATTTCTTCTCTGCTGGTTCCTGATAAGAGAGTAAAAGCATTTAAGAAATAAACGTCACCTAAACAAAAATCACAAAGGCCTTGTCCACTCTGGAGAAAAAACTGTAGGGGTCAGCACAGTGATCATAGTTACTAGTATTTCCCAAACATTGGATACCAACCCATCAGTGGTTCACCGGAAGGTTCCAGTTGGGTTAGCATGAGTAGGGCCAGATCAACCAGGACAGGGCACTATCCTTAGCAAACACACACCCCTCTTGGCCCAGTGTGGAGGGGAGATAAACAACTTCAGAGAGTGAGATGTGGCCAGGCCAAATGTGAGTGGTGCTGTGACACCATGCCCCAGATCACAACATGCATAGGAATGGGAGCTGCTGCTGAAGGGGGGCGTGGGACAGGTTTGCTCTCCAAATATCCCAACCCAAGAGGGTCCCTTCTGTACCAGGCCAGGATTAGGGTTGTGGTGCCAGGACAGGGATGCCTGTATGTGAATATCCGCTGAAAATTTCATTAAAAAAAGAGTGGTGCTGTGACACCATGCCCCAGATCACAACATGCATAGGAATGGGAGCTGCTGCTGAAGGGGGGCGTGGGACAGGTTTGCTCTCCAAATATCCCAACCCAAGAGGGTCCCTTCTGTACCAGGCCAGGATTAGGGTTGTGGTGCCAGGACAGGGATGCCTGTATGTGAATATCCGCTGAAAATTTCATTAAAAAAAGATAACCCCCTCCTGCCTTGGGGGGGCGGGGGGCCCTGCATGCACTCTCCCCTTGCCTATATTGGTGAGCCTCCCTAGTAAAAAATTTGGAAACCCCTGTTCAAGATATAGCAAAGTATTTTCCTCTTCAGATACATTCTACAGACATTTATGTTGTCTAAACTCCATCCTAAGGTCGGGCCTGATTACCATCAAGTGGCACTCAACATGGCTATGTCATGCTTTGACTTTGTGATACAGGACAAAGCCACATTTTAATCATATTCTTTAACATGTTAAAGCTTTGGTGACCACAATTCAGAAAGAACTGTTGTTCTGTCTACATAATTCAAGTCCTGTGCAGTGGTGGGTGGGGTGGGGTGGCTCTCCAGCCTAGCCGGACTGTAGCAGCACTCTCTCTTGATCCATTTTAAATCAGTTGAATGGTTAAACATAACATTTAAATGGGATTTTACATCCCTACTCTGATGTTAATTTGCTGCATGGATTTGTGCAAGTCACTCAACCTTCCCCAGTCTCCAGCTACCCCTCTACAAAGTGACATAACATCGACCTTCTTCACAGGACTAATGTATTTTAATGCATACGTTATTGCAAAAAAAATTTAAATTTTTCAGATAAAAGGAGCTGTCAAAGTTTTTGGGATATTTTGTAGCATATAGGTTACACTAAAAAGATAGGTAACGTAGAACACAGGCCAACAATTCCATTAGACATCAGCAAAACTATATATATCACCTTTTTAATTGATACTTATTATCCAGGGTTTATTAGTATAAAATATAGCATGCATAATTAAGCAGAAGAGAAGAACAACTGTGCAGAATCCAATATTGCAGCATTTACTCAAGTGAGCAGCTCCCCGCATTCAACAGAGCTAGATATTAAGTAAAGGCCAGAGGATTGGTCCCCAAAGCTTATATCACAAGATTCACAGAACAGGTCACTTTTTGATCTCGTTTACAACGTCTTGTGTATTATGAAGTGCTGTGAGTGTTTGTGAAGCTATGTACATATGTACGTACTTCTGATTCACCATCTAGTTGGTAAATACACAAAAAACATTCTTTGTTGGAATCTGTCCCTACCAATCCCAATTCTTGGAATGTTAGCTATCATGTAATTGAATAGTCGCGTAACCATATGAAATCTTAGCGGTTACACGATTATTCAATAGTCTCTGGGGGCAGGACTGCAGCCAGTGCGCTCCCGGCCCCACTCCCAGGGATCCCCCTGCCACCCAGTGCTACCTCTGTACCAGAGGAAGCAGCGCGGAGTTACAGGTAGAGGTTGACGAGAGGAGCCCGTTTAAAAATCAGCTCCCCGAGCAGTAGGGTTGGCAGATGGTTTCAACAAAAATACCAGACACACTTGACATTACATCACAATCTATATTACATCTTATTTAGAAAATACCGGACATTTATATTTTCTCAATTTGTTTCCCCAAACAGAAAGCTCAAATATTGGACTGTCTGGTTCAAAACTGACACCTGGCAACCCTAAATTTTAAGCTGCCCTCAGAAGCTGTGTCGTGAGAGACGCCCCCCCCCCTCCCTCTGACCCAGGGCCACCAGCCCCTGTCCATGGGGCATCCAAGCTCCCCACCGTCTCCCCTTCCCCCCTTACACTGCTGCCTCTGATAGAGGAAGCAGTATAGCAGGGACGGGGGTAGGTAGCACAACAGAGCTGGTGTGGTGAGGCACCAGCTTTTAAACCGGCT